ATTTATAGGTATATATATATATATCTCAAACAAAGTTCTACTTGAAGTGTTGTATCTGTTTCTTAATCTAACAAAAATTCTAACTCAAATACATTCAAAATCACCTGCACCCACAGTTCAATGTAGGCAATTAAATAATTAAGAAACCCCTCGAATGTTCATAATTCAAAAAAAAAAAAAGAAAAAAGAAAAAAATACGGCAAATAGCTGTCAATACTCCTATGTATATTAAAGAAAGATTTAAGGCACCCAGAGATATTTGCCAATCTACCTTTAAAGTGACTGGGCAAACACCAGGACTGTTTGGTTACTGCTCCTCAGCTTCCACCCTAATGCCAGATTCTGGACCCGAATCAGCACTTGAAATTTGAAAGGAACGTTTGATGTCAAACCCTGCTTCTCTGCTGAGAGGATGTGAACTATTGCAGCATGTCACAGCACGCTTCTCTACCGCAGGATATGTCACACAACACATTAAGGGCACCAGGAGCAAAGAAATCATTCTCCTCACCTTCTCTCCTCCCCCACACCCCTTTCAAATTACTGGCTGGAGGAAATTCATCCTCTCTGGAGACTTCTATGAGTTCAGAGGGGCTTAGACTAGAGGCAAGTCAGCCGCCAGTTCCAGAGCTAAGAGTGTTTCTCCTTTTTTTTTTTTTTTTTAATGTTAGGATAAACTTCTAGCCCCCACCTTTTTGATTGTAAGGATAAATTTTTAGCCACAACCCTGTTTGCCCCAGCCAGCCCCCAGGCAGTCACGCACCTCGGAGCGGTAAGGATGCTGTGACACCAGGAGCTGAAGGCCTCCCTGCTCTATTCCTCCGTGTTGCACCTCTCAGTTGGAGACCACATTGCTCCTGATGGCTCTAAACCTCGAAGAGTCCCGTTGCTGAGCAATAGCAAGGCCGTGGTGATGGCAGGGAGGGGAAAGGAGAGGAGAAGGACTTCTTTTCTGAGTAACAAGCATGCTCTTGTTAAGGAGAGCATCACAGAGCTGTCCTGGCTCCTGGCGAGCTTCACAGCAGCAGGAAGTTGCAGCAACTTGCTCCGGTGAAGCCTGCCTGGCTGCTACGTGGCAGAGCTGAGGCGAGGAAGTTGGCATCCGCTCTGTCTCTGCTCTCCCTGGCCCGCCTGAATATGGGAGACGCTGCAAACCCCGCTCCAACATCGCCTTATTCCAGCCACTTGTTGTGCTTTCCTCCAGCTCCATTTGATGCATTTAAGCAGCAAAAACAATACTATTGCTATAACTAATAATAATAATAAAAATTAACAACAACGGGGAAAGTTAAGGGGGAAAAAAGCATGTTCAGCTCAGTGAGGGGCTTCAGGCCATGCCACCCAGAACCTAACCCACCACCTGAACTCAAACTGTGGTCTCTCCAACTTGCAGGAAACAACACCCACGAGGACTAGTTTCTGCAGCACACCCTCCAGCCGCATGCCTACATCAGCTCAGTGATATAACTGACCTTTCTGCAGGCTCAGCCACCCTCGCTGCCTGCCTCGCCAGCAACAGAGTGGGGTGGCGAGGTAGCTTGCTGAAGGGGTCAGGAGGCAAGCTAAGGGACTAACTAGGAGCTGCTTTTGCCTCCCATTCCTACTCCCTCAGAGGAACAGGGAATGGCAAACCAGGCCAATGGACCCTGGGCAGGAAAGCCTGGAGGTGGCCCACGACTGACTCGCCTCAGACGTCTTGACTTCCTCGAGCTCCTCGTGCTGCCTGGCCTCACACTGATGTTTCTCGGGCACTTGTTAACTGGCCGAGCAGAGCCCCTGAAGATGGAGAAGTCTGCTTCTGCAGACACCC